GAGATAATAGTGACACAAAGTAATGGCTTAGTAAATGTATTGAGTTGCTGGATTCACAAACCTTGTCTTAAAATTTTGGAATGATAGTAAGGCTTGAATCCTGAAAGAAGACATTTTAAGAAAATAAAGCAAACAATATTTTATATAATGAGACTCAAATCACGGAATAAACTGTGCAAAGACGTATGCCCGCTGGAGGTATAAAATAAGCTCAAGAAGTAATTCTATCAGGTGATGGATGCTGGAAGTGTGAAGCAGTGTCTCTGGTCACTGAAGAAAGCAGAGTGCCATCTAGTGGAATCATTTCACTATAACATTACAGTACACAGTAACTTACAGATTTAGGTTCTTTTTTTTTCCTCGGTTACAGAAATGGGGTCTTGCCATGTTGCCCAGGCTGGTCTTTAACTCCTGGGTGGGCTCCAAGCAATCATCCTGCCTTGGCCTCCCAAAGTGTTCCGTGCCTGGCCAAGATTCAGATTCTTACTAAAACATGTGACAATTGATTTTCTTATTCAAATAATGATTTTTTAAAGCCTTTGATTTTGAGCTAATTTAGAATTTGCCAAATTGTGAAAACAGTACAGAGAGTTCCCATATACCCTTTGCCCAGCTTCCTCTGTTAACCGTGGTATACTTATCAAGGCCAGCAAATTAACATTGGTACAGAACTACTAACAGAACTGCAGACTGTATTTGGATTTCACCAGTTTTTCCACTTAGGGCCTTTTTCTGTTTCAGGATCCCATCCAGGATCCCACAGTGTTTTTAGTCATCACGTCTCCTTAGGCTCCAAATCTGAGACACTTCTTCCTCAGTTCAAAGAGTGTTTACTAAAAATGCTTCTCTAGGGATTGTGGCTGTTATAAAATACATTTTGAAAATATAGGAGACTTCGAAAATTAAAAGGTAGTCATGAAACAAGAATTTTGACCTAGAATACTTACTCTGTGTGTCCACCCCCACCTTATCTTTTAAAACAGCTTTTTATATTTGCAAAGTACTTTATAAGTTTTACTTACTCTCAAAAGTTATGATGGGCCTAAACAAATCTTTGACAATTTCCTCATGTTACTTAAAAGGAAATTGAGCCATAGGGGAGCTTTATATTTTTTGCCTTAACTTGTGTAGCAGTCTCACACACTGGCAGGTAGAAAAAAGGACAAGAAATTGCAAAGTAATTGAAAAGTGAAACTTACTTTGCCAACTCTTCTTTTTTATTATGACAGTAACTGAGTTTTAAAACAAAAGACAAATTATATTGTCTAATGAATCAAATATTTGATTCTTCAACGTTTTCAAAATGTTTGCCACATTTAAGCATCGGTGATGCTTGCTTTTAAAGTCATAGTTTGGACTATGTAAGAGTACTAAACTTTTTGCTGCCTTAAATTTTGAAAAGAATATTTCTTTTTTTTTTTTTCTTTTTGAGACGGAGTTTCGCTCGTTACCCAGACTGGAGTGCAATGGCACGATCTTGGCTCACCGCAACCTCCGCCTTCTGGGTTCAAGCAATTCTCCTGCCTCAGCCTCCCGAGTGGGACTACAGGTGCGCACTACCATGCCCAGCTAATTTTTGTACTTTTAGTAGAGACGGGGTTTCACCTTGTTGACCAGGATGGTCTCGATTTCTTGACCTCGTGATCCACCCGCCTCGGCCTCCTGAAGTGCTGGGATTACAGGCGTGAGCCACCGCGCCCGGCGGAAAAGAATATTTCTATTACAATTATTATTTTTTTTTTTTGAGATGAAATCTCACTCTTGTCACCCAGGCTGGAGTGCAATGGCGTGATAGCGGTTCACTGCAATCTCCTCCTCCCTGGTTCAAGCGATACTCCTGTCTCAGCCTCCTCAGTAGCTGGGATTACAGGCACCCGCCACCACGGCCGGATAATTTTTGTAATTTTAGTAGAGACAGTATTACCATGTTGGCCAGACTGGTCTCACACTCCTGACCTCAGGTGATCTCTCTGCCTCGGCCTCCCAAAGTGCTGGGATTACAGGCGTGAGCCATGGTGCCCAGCCTTTACCAATTACTTTTAAAAAATAGAAGTAATTTTTGGATCTTGAAAGAACTTCCTGGTTCTGTTGCACTCCATGTAACATGCTGTGTATGGGAGATGAGAATAATAAATTGGGGAACCAGTTTGAGGCTTATTTTACTGGTTTATGGCTTCATTCCCCAAAATACTGCCTTTTGCCCTGTGTGAGTCTTCTGAATATAATGACCACAGTGAACTCTGGTGTACCTGAAAGCAGGGAAAAGGCCTGCAATTTCCACAGAGGATGTAACGTTTTCCTTTATCCCTGCTCCACACCCACTTTCCCCAAATCATCTCTAATAAATGTGGTGATGTGATACGAGATAAAACTGCCTCCCAAACTAAGAAGGAGGCGAGGGCCTCAACCAACCAACAAAGACACCTTACTCGGGAAGCTCACGGTCAGGTTGATGAGGCATGAGGGAAGGATGGATGTGCTGTGTCTCCAACAACAGGCCTTTGAGCTGCGGTCAGCCGGTGAAGTAGCCAAGCTCCAAGGCTGGGTGCCTTTAGAAGCTGGCAAGTCTCCTTTCCCAGAATGCTCTTCTTGACTAGGAGGTAAAAACGTGTTGCCTTTCCATTGATTGTGTAATTGGGCCCTCTCAATTTTTTTCTCAATTCATTTTAATTTTAAGCTTCACCTATATGCATAGGTAAAGTTATTTGGAAGTGAAAGCAAACACAGAATTACCTGCCTTTAAGGCGACGTAGGGAAGCAGAGAAATTTAGTGTCTTTTTAGGTTTCTTACCTGCCTTGAAGGCAGAGAAATTCAGTGTCTTTTTTTAGGTTTCTCACCTACTGCTAGGAACCCTCCTCTCTTTGTCTCTCTCCCTCTTTCCCCAGATCCTCACTGTGTCCCTCTCTCCCTCCCTCCTTTCCCTTTTCTCTCCCTGTCAGCCCTCTCTTTCTTTTCACTGTATCGCCCTCCTCTCCTCCTTTTCTCCTTTCTTTACACTCAGGCAACCCAACTAGTCATGGGGCTGTGCGGGGTGCGGGGGGCGGCTTTTGGTGTCCTCCTACCCTGTTCTCTCTTTACTGACAGAAACAAACTTGTATGTAGTATTTAGACATGTATTTGTGGCTGGTGGCTATTACTTTTTTCAGGTAAAATACTTGAAACTTAATGGATGCCTTGGGAAGGTAATAACTCAAGGCTAAGAACTGATTATTTTAGGCTTGTGAGCATTTGAGCAAGAGCATTTCGCTATTGCTCAGTTGTTCCCCACACCAGGGCTGAGCTTGTCAATGTCTAATCACATGAGAAGCACCCAAAGTCAGTCTCATAAAAACTACTGATTATAAAATGGCCTCTTTCGGAACGCAGGAAGCAAGCGTTTTTCAGACCTGTGAATGAAAGGAGACTTTCCAAATGAATCCATTTACACAGTGTACTAGATCATATTACATCTCATGAACTGGACTGTAAGAGCAATGTGAAAACATTCCAAAGGAGATGGGGGAAATAATTTGTCTGTTCAGCTATATACTTCTACAACTTTCTATTGATATGTGTATTGGAGATTGGATTTCCAATAGATCATTTTTACATTAAGGTTCAGCAGGATTCTATTTTTCACAAACCTCCATCTTTGGCAACTTGAGTTTATCATTCAGCATTTTCAGTAACATTCTGGCTGTCTGTATATTTCTTCCCTTACAGAAAGTGGGAAAAGAGTTGTATTGGTTCTTCTTGCAGTTGTCTGTAATTAAAAATGGCTTTGTGCTTTTTAGGACAACCCTTTCAAAATGGTATAAGTTGGGCATTTTATGCACAGTGTTATATGCCTAAAAAATGGTGTGAGAAAAGGAGGGAGCCATGTTTCCCCTATAAATACTGAGAAGACATTTCACTTTGCAGTTGTTATGTTAGTGCAATTCTATTTTTCCTGGTTAATTTCCTTTCATTGACGTTCAACAAATGTGCTTTGTTAACCTTTGGCTATAGTAGTAGTTCTACGGTTTTTAAAGATGAATTTTGATCACTGCAAACCAGGAACACTTAAGTGCTTATAGAACCAGGCTGCTGTAGCGAGTTAAACTGTTGAACTGTTCCCAGGATTGGTTGTTACGTGCTTTTAAATTCCTGCATTTGTAAGTGAGCAGTTTCCCTGTTTATGTACTCTACAGTTCTTAATGCTTAATAAATGTTAATATTCCATAGCTACTATAGAGGGTTTCTAGAGCATGTAGCATTATCAAGTTTAAAACCTATGAGAAGAGTTTTTATGGTATTTAATGAATACTAAGGTTTTCTGTGAATTTGAGTCAATGAAAAATTCATTTTTTTCATGTACTCTACATATCTCATGCTTTAAAAATACACTGGTCTTGGCTGCATTTGGTTTTTGTGACCTTTCCTTCATTATTATTTGAGAATGTTACAAAGTAGGATCTTTGCTGATACTTTGCATATATCATAAAAATATGTGATTCTCACATCATCAGTATGAAATGAAAGCACCTTTTTAAGTCTCGGATTTTCCTCGTCTGTATCATACACGTTTCACTATGGGCTGAGCAGAGGTGTTGAATAGCATATAGCACCAGGCCCAATGTGGCCTTCTTTGCATCCGCAGTGTGAGCCTTTCTGCTCGATATCATGCTCATCTTACATGATTATCACAACCCCATACTTAGCAAGAGAGTTCCCAGCCTATAAGTAGATTTATTCTATCTTAAGCCTTGGCTTATATGAGAGAGGTTTGTGGCATCTGGGAGATGAAGTCATGGAAATTTGATTAAGAAGAAAAAAGAAGGGGGCATATTGTTTGGTCTGTCCTGTTTTGAGGTGAACAAGGTCTCTAGGAACTTTTCCTTAAAGCCTGTGTGAATTTGTGTTATTTTAGAAACCCTCTTTCCTCTTACCCTTCTCAGGAACTGCATACTCAAAGATACCGCGTATTTGGCAATGAGAGTTAGCTGGATCCATCCCTCCCTGCTATTTTTTTTTAAAACAGATGGAGAAACTGAGTCCCGAAGGGTTATAACATCCTTGAAGTTATACAAAGAACTGAAGTAACATCTGGCTTGTCTAGGAGATCAAGATGAGAAAGACTTGTTGATTGACTCCCTCTTAAAGAGAAATGCTTTTGCTCAGCATTGTAAGTATTGACCTTCTGATTATATCACTAATGCTTTTTTAAAAAAAAATGTTAAAGCTTACATTGAAAAAATACATATGCCACTTTTAAAATGGAGGCTTTCAGCAGCATTTCGATATATCCATATGTTATGGTTTGGGCCAAATTAACCAGCCAATTTCAGATCTGTTTTTTTTTTTTTTTTTTTTTTTTGGAAAGCTTAGGTATATATTCAGTTGAACTTTCTGTCAAATCACAGCTTGGAGAAGCTATCTCCAAACTGCTTTTCATATACTGGTTAAATTAAGGATGCTTCTCTCAGGCACAGCTCATGTTCTCCTAATTTGGGCTGGCCATCCTTTACTGGTGCTCCCCATGGTGTGCCTGTTTCTTGTCGCCTCTGAAGCATCACGCTGCCTGTGACCTTTCTGGTGCCTCTCTGTCCTCAAGTACCTGGGCTCCTGGAGGGCCTGGGTCAGGGCCTGAGTGCTCAGGATCAGGCGGGAGCCACACCAGAGAGCCCTCTCTTCCTGCTCACCCCTGGAGAGTCAAGGTCCTCAAATTACCTGGCTAGAAAGCTCCCGTGGGATCTCTGATCACAGCCAGGGCAGAGAATTCTTACTGTAATGAATGAAGGACTCATCTCTTTGGAGAGAAACCCAGAAAGTAACATAGATGATACTAACCTTTACTCAGGGCTCATGTTTGAGGTCCATGGAGAGTATAAGAGATTTTCCTATATTCTCTCATGGGTATGTATTTGTTGAATATCTGTCTGTTGTGTGCTAGGCTCCGAAACAGTTATTATACATTTCATCTGTATTGCAGCTCTGTGAGGAAGAGATGATTGGCCTTATTTTAGAAATGAGGCCATGGATACTTAAGAGAACATTCAAGTTATTTGCCCAAAATCACATTGTAAACGATAGAGAGATATGCATTACCTTCACTTGTCTGATTTCACCAAGCCCATACCAAGAAAAGAACATATTTCAAAATGGATGTTGAGTTTGAGATTTCCTTTCTTCTTCGTATATCAACATAAATAACAATTTTTTTTTCAAGGCACATTTTTCATTTTACAGAATTTTTGGGTAATAGTGACACTGGAAAAATATTTTTTGAGGTCCCACTTTATACCAGATCCTGTCTAGGTGCTGGAGATACAGCAGTGAGCATATGCAAAAGTAAGTTATTTTTATCAGGTTCTGAGATAAAACTAGAAAGGAGCTTTATCTGTGCATATTTCATCATGTTCTTTCTTTAATAGCAAGGCATTGAAACATAGAGCCCAAGATTAATTGCTATTTTTCCATTGACTCACAGAATTACCGAACTAACAGGGTGCTTCTGAGGTTACTCAGCCAGCTTCTGAGGGTCTGGAGGGAATGCCAACCTAAACCATTCTTTTATTAAAAAATTTCAGGGAGAAAGATTGCATTAGGCCTTTGTGGTAGCTGCTGCTTTAGACCCTTACAGCCTGTTGTGATGATGATAAATTATTTCTGTCCCATCAGAGTTGGATGGCATAAATGTGATTTTCAAATTGACTATGAAAGACATTTTTAAAATCCTAAATTCTATACTTTTATCAAAAATAAGCACCTTCAGAGGTTATGAAATGAGAAGCAGAGTCCCAGGCAGGTGATCACACACCTGTTTGACACTGGCGTGGCCTGAATCGTACCCACTGTGATGCCAATGCCTGACAGTTTTTTCTACCTTTCTATCCCAAATCGATTGGTCAGTTTACCCCAGTTTGCAATGCAGTTTAGAATCTCCTGGAAACATCTCTTCTAGTAGTTTTCTTAGCCCTCTTGTAGTCGACTTTTGTTTTTTGCTTCCAGAAAGCTCTATGCTTCATATGGACTTGCATACCAAGTTTTTGTTCATCTGTTGGTCATTATGGTTAGCAGAGCCTGATGTCCTATTATAATGGAATGATTGGTTCCTGGCCTACAGACTTAGTCTTTTTTTTAACCTTCCCATGTGGCAATTTGCCATATGCAAAACTTAAATGGTAGCCAGTTTCACGTCAAGTTTCAGATTCCATCTCTGTGTTTGTCCCTTGAAAGTATAGATTATTCCCCATCATGAGAATGCCAGTTGTAGAGGAAACATCTCCTAAAAGAATAACTTGTCAAATTCTGATAGAAATTTTTCATTAGAAGTCTCCTCATCTGTGAAATAAGGGCATGGGCGTAGACGTTTATGAGGTTACTTTGAGCTTTATGAGTCTGACTAAATGGGGGAAGTACTGCAGCCATTCAGTTGGGTGCCACGACTTTGTTTCCAAACTCAGGCTGACTCCACTCAAGTGCCCTGCCTTGGATTGGGAATGGCTGGCTTGTTGTCCTGAGACAGCCATTCCATGCCAGAAACTCAAGTCACCTACTTTGGGGTATCTGAGGGCAGTGTTTTTCAAACTTTTTCTGTGGCAGCTAAATTTTCTTCAAAGGAATAAAGAATTAAAAGAAAACTCCTTCTCAGTTTCCGGCACAGACTGTGTCATCACTTACCCTGTGCCTGGGTATTTGCTTCTTGTACAATGGAGGAATCCCAGAAGGTAGCATCCCAGCAGGTGGTTCAGGAGGGTAGTTGCTCTCGTTGGAGAGAGAGTGGTGGGTGATGCCATGGCCTTTCTTGGCCAGCTTTTCTCATAGACCTGATCCCTTCTCCACCCTCCACCCCTGACCTCACCTTCAGCCCCACAGTTTCTAGCTCATTTCATAGAACGAAACTTTTCAAATCCTTTGCCGTGACCAGCCAGTAGGAATTTGCATGGCTGCATTAACCACTTCAGCCCAGGCTCTGAAGCTGGAAAGCTAAAATTTAACCCATCAGCATCCTCCCCTCAGATTCCCCCAACCTTAAGGTCCCCATCCCCATTATCTGATTGCTGCCAAGAAGATTGGAAACTTGTCTGTGACAATCTGGAAGATCCCATATCAGGTGGTCTCTTCTGTAATTCAAAAGGATCCATTAACTGAATGAAACTCGAGATTTCAACAAGAACTCACCTAAGATGAAATTGATAACCTGAATAGTCCTACTATAACCATTAATAAAATGAAATTCATGGTTTAAAACCTCCTGAAAAAGGGATCTTCAGACCCAGATGGTTTCAGTAGTAAATTTTAACATTTAGGGAAGAAATGACAGTCTCTTCTAGAATAAGAGGGAAAACATTCCAACTTATTTTATAAGGCCAACATTACCCTGATACCAATGACAGTAAAAAAACAAAACAATGGTGATGAAACTACAGACCAAATCCCTTATAAACATAGATAAAATAAATTCATCAAAAAAATACTAATAACATTGGCCATCACATTGATAAACATTCCCTTCTTTCAATGTCTAGGATCTGTAGTGATATTACCTCTTTCATTCCTAAATTGTGTTTCCTTTTTATTTTTTATCAGTCTTGCTGGAGCTTTAACCATTGTATTGATATTTTCAAAGAATCAGCTTTTGGTTTCATTTTTTTTTTTCTTTTTTCAATTTCATTGCTTTCTGCTTTTCATTTCCTTCTTGCTTTGACTGTATTTTGCTCTTCTTTTTCTAACTTATTTAGGTGGAGGCTTAGATTATTTATTAGAGACCTTCCTTGGTTTCTAATATAAACATTTAATGTTGTGAATTTATCTATAAGCACTATTTTAGCTGTATCACACATTTTGATATATTATTTTTCCGTTTTATTCAATTTTTTTTCACTTGAGACTTTCCCTTTGACTGATAATTATTTAGAATTGTGTTGTATAATTTCCATGTATTTGGAAATTTTCCTTTTCTTTCTGTTGTTGATTGCTAGTTTAATTTTATCATGACCAGATGACATACTGTGTATTATTTCAATTCTTCTCAATTTATTAAAGGTTTATTCTTTAGAGTATGGTCTCTCTTGGTGAGTGTACCATTTTGGCACCAGGGACTGGTTTCATGGAAGACAGTTTTTCCATAGATTGGTGTGGGGTGGAAGGGATGAGTGGGTAGGGGGGATGGCTTCGAGATGAAATTGTTCCACCTCAGATCATCAAGCATTAGATTTTCATAAGGAGTGCAAAACCTAGATTCCTCTTGTTCTCAGTTCACTATAGGGTTTGGACTCCTATGAGAACCTAACGTTTCTGCTGATCTGATAAAAGGCAGAGCTCAGGTTGTATGCTCACTCGCCTGCTAAGCTGCCTACAGAAAATTGCTGTGGGATCCATTCAGGTACTGGTCCATGGTTTGGAGGTTGGGGACCCCTGGGTTAGAGTATTTTATAAACATTACATTTAATTGGTTTGTGCTGTTTTCTGTTTTTTTTTTTTGAAATATATTGCTGAGAGAAGAGTGTTGAAGTCTGCAATTACAACTGTAGATTTACCTATTTCTCCTTTGTATTCTGTCAGTTTTTGCTTTGTGTATTTTGAAGGTCATTTGTTGGGTAGGATTGTCATGTCCTCTTGGCAAATTGATACTTTTATTATTATGTGCTGTTCTTCTTTGTCCCTGGCAATTGCCTTTCTTCAATGTGCATGGTCTAAATGTAGACACTCTAGCTTTGTTTTCAGCAGCCTGCATTTTACACTTTTTTCATCCTTCTGCTCTTAACCTACCTGCCTATATTATGTTTCAAGTGAGTTTTGGTTACACAGCATGTAGTTGGTTCATATTTATTTACTCATTCTCACAGTCTCTGCCTTTAATTCTTGTATTTAGACCATTTCAGTTTAATGTAATACTTGATATGTTTGGATTTAAATGCTTTCTGTTGATTCCCTCTTTTTGTTCCTCTGTTTTTCCTATTCTGTGTTTTTTGAGCTATTTGAATATTTCATAGTGTTTTATTTTTTTAGTGCCTGCTTTAGGGATTACAATTTGCATAGTCAACTAGAATCATTCACAGTCAACTTAGAATCATTTCAAATGGACATGTCATCACTTTAAGTGGACTGTAGAAACCTTACCACCATATAGGTTCCCTTTGTCCTCCTGTCTTTTATTACATTATCTGTATTTCACCTTTCTTGAAGGATACATTTGCTGGATATAGATTTCCATATTATGTTTCTTTTCCTTCAGTGCTTTAAAAATATTGTGCCACTTCTTTCTTCCTCTGTGGTTTCTAGTGACAAATCTATAACCATTTGACTTTTTGTGCCCAACAGATAATAGGGCATTTTTCTCTCCCTGTTTTCAGGAATGTTGGTTTCATCTCTGATTTATAGCATGGTTTTGGGGGATTAATCGTAGATGAGGTTCACTTTGCTTTTTGAATTTGTACGTATATGTGTCTTGTGAAAGTTATGAAGTTCGCAGCCATTATTTTATGAAATATTTTTCCGGTACAGCATGGCTTTCTTTTTCTGGGACTTCTGTGGCACAAATGGCAGACCTTCTCTTATTGTCTCCTGAGGCCCTGTTTTTTTTTCATTTTAAATCGTTTTTTCTCTTTCTTGTTCAGGTTGGCTTATTTCTATATATTCATCTTCAAGTTTGCTGACTCATATCCATGATGCCATTGAGCCCATCCCGGTGAGTTTTTTATTTTGGCTATTTTATTTATTGTTCAGCTCTACAGTTTACAACAGTTCTTCATATATCTTTTATTTCTTTGCCCAGACTGTCTCTTCCATAGGTTTCAAGATGGCTTAGAATTGGTTGCTGGAGCATTTTTTGGTAATAACTGATTTAAAGTTTTTGTCACATAGTCCAAATGTCTGTCATGTCAGCCTTGGCGCCTGTTGATTGCATTTTTCCATGCTGAGTAATTTTGAATTTATCCAGGGCATTTTGAATATTATGTTATGAAATTTTGGATCTTGTCTAAATCCTATGAAGAAGGTCAGTGTTTTTGTTGTAGTAGGTAGTTGATAATGGTTAGGTTTGGAGAACAAGTTCCAACCCACCATCTGTGAGCTGTGGTCCTGTGTTAGTATTTGCAGAGCTATTTGAATGTATTGTGTGTGTGTCCCACAGTGGCCAATCTAGGAGCTAGGCGCTTCAGTTCTCAAAGTCATTGGTAGACTTGTTAGGATGAGGTCCACAAGTGTCGATCTGAGGAGTGAGCCTACACGATGATAAGCAACTTTACAGGGTCTCTTTCTCGAGCTCTAGTTTCCAACAGTTTTTCTTTATGTCTTTATCTCTCCCCTTGTGTCTCTCTCTAGTTCTTTCCAGTTCTATTAGGCTTCCCTTCTGGGTCATTTAACTAGGAATCTTGGGCTTTAGTTACTCTACTTTGCCATGTACTTTCATAACTGTGCCCATGTCCCCAGGGCCAAGGCCCCGGAGGACAGAAACACTAAAAACAGTGGGATTCGGCCCCACTTTCTTGGAACCATGTCTCTGCTGAATCCAGAGGAAGGTTTTCCTCCCTCAGAGTTCCTGTCTTTGCAGGCTCCCCTTGCTGCTGGCTGCTGTAGCCACTGCAGGGTTGCTTGGGGGCTGTGGCCTGAGAGAACAGCAAAAAGGAAAAAACGGGATTTCCCACTCTATTCTGTCAGCACCCGGGGTCTGCCGACAGCCTGTTAAGACCAGGCCTGGGCACACTGCTGAAAAAAGAAGGAACTGTCAGTTGAGTGATCTTTCATGTTCTGGTCTTCCTTCTTAATGTGCCTGCTACTCCTTACTTTTCAGAGTCCTCATATAGCTGTTCCAAGTATTCTCTCTGAGGTTCAGAGTTGTGGGCCCTGGGAAACACAGGATGGCGTGTGCTGACTCTATCCATCCTATGTAGAACTGGAACCTCTGTTTGAGTTTGAATATGGAGAATTGTATGAGTCTGAACAATGGGTGTCTTAACAGCCCCCTTAGCGCCACTCTACCCAGCCTCACCTCTTTGATAGGAAAAGCATCCGTAGGATCTACAGACACCTTTTAGGAATAAGGGGGGGTTAATTTAAAAGCATTACCTTTACCATCAGATGAAACAAAAACTTGCTTCTTGACTCTACAGCTAAAACTAAATTGGGAGTATTTTTTTTCTTATTCACCTTTTTATTAAAATGATAGTTCCTTTTCAAAGATAAGAGTTATACATAATAAGTCAACAATTCCTGAAATCCTTTTAGTCCAGCTTAGAAGAGGACCATGAAGATACTGCTTATGTAAATCTGAATCCAGCAGACACCCTCTCCACTAAATTAAGAGATACTTCTCTAAAGAAGAGCTTTGTGCAGATTTTGCAGTGCCATGTTTTCGATTTTGAATGTTGCATATGCTTATAATTCCTGTAGAAGTGATTCTTGTGATAATAGTTTCAAAAGTGTGAAAATCAAGAGAACAGGCTTCTATGAAAATCCGAAGGGAAGTTGTGCATGTGTCCCTTAGTAGCTAATGGCTAAATGGTTAAAGGTGTTACCAGGGTGGTGAATGATATTCAAAGACCTGTTGTTCAGGAGGGGTGGGGAGCAGGAAGCTCTGTTGGTGTAAGTGGAGAATGGAATGTTTTAGGGAGCGGGGTTTTGTCATTTCCAGGAGCAGGGCTGGCAGCACGGTGGGAAGGTCTGGCTCCAGCTTGAGCCCACTCACAGGATGTCAGGGGGAAGTGTGACTAAGGTCACGGCCACGCCACGTGGTGGGCCAGCTGGATCCAGAGCAGGGGCCGTTGTGGCCACACATCCTGAGTTTCCATGGTCTAATGCATTGGGCTTGAAAAAAAAAAAGGGTGGATGCAGGATGCTGGCTGGGCCTGTGGAGTGTGTGGGCAGTAAGTCTTAAGTGACAGTGGGTGGAGATTACAGCATTTCATCTGCTTTTCCTTTGACACCTTTTAAAGATACAACCCACAGTTTTCAAGGGTATATGCCAGTGTCTGCTAGAGGGATCCTGCAGTAGATCTTAAACCCTATAGTATTCTTAGCAGCACAAGGAAATTTTTATTTGGGCACCATTTACAACAAAGGTGGAGATTTAAAATGAGACTGGGAATTTGAAATGCTGTTCACATTAAGCAGTCTATTAGGGGGTTATTTTGAAATAATTCTTAAGTAATTTTAAGATGTTTCCACATCTCAAAAAAATACATTTTTCTTCACTTTTCTTTGGAGAAGGGCTGTTGAGGATGTTGCGCAGGTAAGGTTTCAGAATTTGAGCAGCTTTACAGTGCCGTCATCCAGTTTGACAGACTGAATTTGCACTTAGAGGAAATGGAATGTATATTTAATCACTGGAATATATTGTACCTAGGGAACGTGAGAGAGTGTATGTCAGGTTTCAGTTGTGATGAATATTTTGCTGATGATTTTTCAGCTATGTGGCATGCTTACAGTCTGCCTCTACTTGAACAATATCTAGCATTTCCTGGTTATAACAATGGTAAAGAGTCTTAGAAAATATCAGTCTAGAATTCTTATCCTTAGTCCATTAAAACTTGAGAAGGTTCTCAGCCAAATTTCTTAATTAAATTGAAAGAAAATTGATTATTATAAGCTGTAGGGTCCTAATCTCACTCCCCACAACAGATTATGTAAAAAAAAAAAAAACTTGAAGGAATGAAGACAGGGATTTTTTTCAGATTACTAGGTAGTCGGAAATCAAACCATTTGAGTTCAAGAATCACCATAGAAACTTGGGTGGGAGGCTATAAGTAGTGTGGGGTATATGAGGTGTTATTATTAGACATCGTTGTTGAAGGTGCTGTGTTTTTTTAAGACCATGCCTGGCAAGAATTCATCAAAGTGTAAAAAGTATTTCCTTTAAGGTGCTACTTATTTATTTAGTTCAGGTGCTCTTCATAAAAATTAAAAATTGCTTTCCGCTTTTGGAGAGAAAATGGAATCATAATTTTTAGTCATATTATTTTGAATATAATTTCATATTCAAAATATATGTACATACCTTTGAAATCAGGTGCCTAGAAGGGACAGGTATTTGCTTCAGAAGTTAGGAATTCCTTAACAGAAAGGGAAAGTGGGAGCCAACATTTGAGTGCCCCTTATGTGCTCTCCTGGAAGCAGGTTATCCATTCTGCTTATGGTTTCTTTGAAGTTTCATAACTGTTCGTTGAAGCAAATTTATTGGTATGAAAGACAATTCATAGGTTGGTGAGTTTGGCCTCTGCTGGGTGGAGGATGATAAGGAATGGGTGCACAGATTGACATGTTTGGGGACTTAAAGCAGTGTTTCTCAACTGGAGGTGACTTTGTCCCATTGAGGGCATTTGACAATGTTTGCATAGTGTTTGGGGTTTTGGTGGGGACTGGGGAGATGCTACTGGCATGTAGTGGGTGGAGGCCAGTAATGGAGCCTAAATACCCCATGATGCACAGGATCCCCGCCTCTGCAAAACTGCCCCACCAACCAAGTGTACTGACCCCATATGGCCACAGTGCTGACATTGAGCAACAAATGACTTAAAATTAACACTGAAAAGAAAACCAAAGTCCTCCCCGCTGCATTGACATGTATTCACTCATTCCTGCAAATAGTTGTGTCCTAAATAGTCTAGACATCTCAAAGAATAGAAACTATTGCTTACCTTTAAGAAAAAGGTTTTACATGTGGTTTCAGAGATTCGTGGGGTCTTTTTTTTTTTTTTTTTTTTTGCAATTTTTTAAATTTATCTGATTTATTTTACGATCAGCAATTAGTTCTCATCCACACTGACTGTCTTAGATTTTTTAAAGTGGTAACAGGCCTAGGTAACCAAAATGCAACGCTTATTTGGTGAATCTTCATCCTCATTGCGTTTTCTGGATGACTACACACAGATTCGGTGTGGGACGTTCCTTATTCCTTTGGCTCAGAGAGCTCTGTTGAATCTGGTATCAATGCGCACATCTGGGGTTCCCATCTCCTTCGAATCTCTTTGAGTGCCCAAGGGGCACGCCTTTTGAAGCCTACTCCATGGATGCAGTTGTGAATGTTGACGGTGTATTCTTGGGTCACCACCTCGTTGATGGCAGAACGGCCCTATTTCTTCTCACCACCCGTCTTTGTGGGAGCCGTTGTGCTGGGTCCAAGTGCAAGATCCACTGTTTTTTAGGTTTGCACTGTTAGGATGTACTTCTCTTTCTCTAGCCTGAATTTCTCATAGTGTCATTTTGGCCCCTTCCATTTCCAGTTAAACTTTCAATCATGGAGGTAATAATTAGCTGGGGCCATTCTGCATGAAGTATACTTTGTCCAAGTTCTGTAGAGGCTGCTATTAAATTGCCCCTGAGCTTTAGAGAGCATCAACACAGTAAGGAGTGCTACAGCATAGTCACATTACTTACATTCTTACTAGGCATATAAAGATAGTGGGGTGGCAAAGACAGAATATAAAGCTCCGTAAGAATACTGCCTTGTTGGCATCCAATGGCATTATATGGGGTTCTGATGATAAAACACTTAGAGGTCTATTTTTAAATGTTTAGATGTGCCTCAAGACTCGAGTTTGAGTTGTGCAAGGCTTAGCAGTTGGCTGTAATCCCATCTGCTACCCCAACCTTGCAAAAGGTAACAGAACCATGGTATCTGGGCAATACATCATTTTTGGGCATTTCTGGTGACTTATCTCCAAATGTCAGGGCACCAAAATGAATGAAGAG